CGTGTGTGTGTGTGTGTGTGTGTGTGTGTGTGTGTGTGTGTGTGTGTGTGTGTGTGTGTGTGTGTGTGTGTGTGAGAGTCGGGGCGGTTGGGGGAGGGGGAGGTTGTGAAGAATTTATTTTTTAGGTTTTGAAAATGCTTTTAATATCGTTACCATATCATGTCTTTCACCATGAACGGGGACATTTTCAGTTTATGGTAAACCAAGCTTGCTTTATAGTGATGACTACAGTACCCGTTTACTCCAAATGTTCTCGTTGTTGGTGATTCAATTAAGGAAAGCACTATAGTTCCCAGTGACACTGGGAATAGGCCTAGAAACCACTGCAATAGGACCTAGGGAAGAATTGTTCCCAATGACACTGAGAACAGACAGGCCCATTAGATCTATTGTTCCCACACTGATCTACGTGGGCATGATGGAGATCTAACTAAACTAAAGTAGATTCTGGTGTGCGTGGAAGAATTTTTTTTAAAGAAAAAGGAATGATCATTCTATGCTTCCTTGATATTCAGTCGTAATTTAAATGTACGTGTAGATCTAGATATACATACGTATTTTGGAGACTACAGTACGGGACAGGTAGAAATCCTTCCCCATTCTTCTTTCTTCTATATCTAGATCTAGTTCTAGTTCTAGATCTAGATCCAGATCTGTTCTACGGTCAAGTTTAAGCCCTAAGTAAGAGAAGAGAATAAAAGTAGGCTGAACTGAAGTGAGAAGAGAGTCTACAATGTAAAGACGTCTGATTTATATATGCAAAAGAGTTCCGTTGTCACTGGGAATAGTTTCTGTATCTATCCCCAGTGTCACTGGGAATAGTCACTTAGTTCAATTAGTTTTGGCGAACAGCAATGGTACGTTCATAAAATAACATTGTCTGCATTGGTGGAATATTGTGTATTTATTGGTATTCTTTGTATGTTTATTTGTGTGTTTGAAAATTACGTGTTTATGTACATGTATTGGCCACTGTAACCAAAACCACTCCCTACCCCAGAAGAATCAGTAAAATATAATTTGTGCATTTTTTAAATCAATAGATCTTTTAAATGAATACCACATTCTGCTCATGCAACGTGGAACCGCCGAGCAGGCAGGTGAACGATTTTGTTGAGGCAGCAAAAGAAGACAGCTCAAAGAGTCATAGAATGCAGGAGATTAACCATATATTTTGAATACCTTGTAAGATAGATAGATAGATAGATAGGTAAATAGATAGATAGATAGATAGATAGAGAGATAGAGAGATAGATAGAGAGATAGATGGATAGATAGATAGATAGATAGATAGATAGATAGATAGATAGATAGATAGATAGATAGATAGATAGATAGGTAGATAGATGGATAGATAAATAAATAAATAGATAGATAGATAGATAGATAGATAGATAGATAGATAGATAGATAGATAGATAGATAGATAGATCATTTGAGCAAAAAGCTTGTAGGTAGTTTTAACAATACACGTTAGGTGAACGGTTGGATACATTCCAGCAAAACAGGATAGATAGAGGAAAGGGTTTGTGAATGAATGAATGTATAGATACACAAGTTATAATTACATATATTGAAAACCAACCCAGATAATGGTATATGAAAAGTCACATCCTTGTCTTGACGTGGAAAAGTATAATCATGATGAATGAATACTTTCGCCGCTTGCGTCATCGTACTTTGAAGGTTTTCAAAAAAATATAAAACGTTACAGCTATTTCCGACAGGGGGTCAGTAACTACGTTTGTCTTGTTGGTGAATAACCCTTGCAGTAAAATCTAAAATAAAAAAATCTAATCAGAGCTTTCAACTCTGTCAGAAAATAGCTAGAAGTGAATTGAGTCTTGTTTAAATTAAGCATAAAGAGTCCGAATACTTGTTCAATCATTTAAATTAAGCAGACTGCATTCTGTTCCGACAACTTGTTTCATTAGCCATGTCTACGAAGTTTGTCGTTGATTACGTTTCATCAATAACCTCCTCTTAGTTTAATGGTGCATTGCAACTTTCTCAAACCATTGTACTCTGAAATTCGATTTCCCTCGGCTCTCAGAAATACAGTGGTAAAGAAAAGGTTTCTTGTTAGTTGGCCTGATGTGACTTAAGTAGAACTGTCAATGAAAACAGACTATATAAAAAGGGTGCATTTTGTGGAGAATAACGATTTTTAAAGGGGTTATCATTAACACGTGGATATATATATATATATAATATATATATATATATATATATATATATATATATATATATATATATATATATATATATATATATATAAAGCAGAACAAGGTCATCCTACCAAGAAGAGATAATGATAAAAATGACAATAGCAATAGCAATAATGATGATGATTATGATAAAAATAATAATAATAATAATAATAATAATAATAATAATAATAATAATAATAATGATAATAATAGCCTAATAATAATAAAAACAAATATTATAATAATAGAACTAATAATGATAATATCAATATTTTATAAATGATACTAATTATAAAATGATGAAGATAAGTAAATTGATAATAATTGTGATATAGATAACATTATACTATCAAAACATAATGATCTAACCCCTCTAATAATACAGTTCCATTTAAATACCTCATACCCACGCTCTAGACCACGTTCTTTCTAGCATCCCCTTCTCTCTCTCTCTCTCTCTCTCTCTCTCTCTCTCTCTCTCTCTCTCTCTCTCTCTCTCTCTCTCTTTCTCTCTCTCTCACTCTTTTTCTCTCTCTCTCTTTCTCTCTCTCTCTCTTTCTCTCTCTCTTTCTCTCTCTCTCTCTTTCTGTCTGTCTGTCTGTCTGTCTGTCTGTCTGTCTGTCTGTCTGTCTGTCTGTCTGTCTGTCTGTCTGTCTGTCTGTCTGTCTGGCTGTCTTCCCTTAAAAACGGTTTAAGATTTATCTTAAAGTGTTCTAAAAATGCTAGCAACCGTTTGGACTCTCAATAAACTTTTCATTGCTCGTCCGGAACGAAAGTTTAGATATTGAATTGTTGCTGGAACAAAATGAATCATGCCAATCATTTTACTGACTGTACATTGCTCACAGGCGTGCTTCTCCTGTATCCCTCAGACGCGCCCGTGATATGAGGACTGTCAAGGAAAACCTCGCCGTAGACTCGGAGATTTTGCTGCACGGTCTCCACCTGCCAGCTGCTGCTCATCTATAGAGCGATTATTGGATGACTGAGATGAGTTGAATGATTATCCTCTGCCTTAAACAGCATATACGGTAGAAAAAAATGTTGTAATCAGATCAGATTGAAAGTCTACGTGATCTGGCCTGTTGATAACTACATTGACTTCACTCTTATACATCGCAGGTTTTTTAAAATCTCGGATTCCCTTACAAAATGCACTACAATTCAAATTCTTCATAAATATGAGACCGATCAACAATCATCATGCTCACTCAATGTAATACAACGTCAGCCTTGAATCTTGATCGGGTTTTATGTTGGGCCAGTAACAATGCCTCGATAAACTCGACCCAGGACAACGAAACAACCACAGACGTCACCGAGGACACTAATGAGGACATGGTTGTGTGGGTGCCGTATCTGGGCCTTGTCTTGTTTCTCGGAAGTGTTATTGTTTTGTCTGTGTCTTTTTACTCACGCTACACGAGAGCACTGCAGAGACGCCAGTCCCACAAAGACTACAAAGAACGCAATATCGACTTAAAGAGGACCAGACTGCACTGCATCATGCATATGGCACCAAAGCCAAGCCAAGAAGATTACTTTGCCTTGGAAAACGAGGAAGCCACTAACTCGAAACGGCAGAACAACGGTACCGGATATCCCTACTACTCGTACAACCCCAACAGTGCACTGCGTCTCAGTTCCTCGTTGCATTCTGTCCGTGATTTCGCCGCGTCTGACCCTGACCTCCCGTCCTATGAGCAATCGTCTCGCCGCGTGTCCATACACGCACTACATCCCAGTCAGCTGCCACAACATCTCCTGAGGCGGGCTGATTTCCCACAGAAGACCCGTCCGAGGTACCGCGAGCGGCAGGGCTTGTACTCTCAATGCCACCATTGCCAGTGCTGTTGCCACAGACACCCAGATCGGTGGAACACTCAGCCAGCGCAAATGGATACTTCAGTGGAGAAAGAAGATAAAGAAGTGCTCACCAACGCACTTAATGCTAGAAGACGATGTCTTAGCAGTATGCATAAAAAACGCAATTTATCTCTTGCAAAGTCATTGAAGCGAGACAAAAAAGCTTTTCATAACGATATTGAACCCAAACCACTAAAACAAAAGGGCGCAAAACTCACCAGATCTGAAAAGAAAAAGCAGTCTTTAGAGATAAAACATTCGGACTTTCAGCCGGAGTCATCCGAGGCCCGACCTTTCCCCAGCACGGGCGGCCAGGATACGACGACAGGTGCTGGTGAGTACACACATTCTGCCCAATCCAGACATCAGGACAGTATCGCCTATACTTCAGGGGAGAAAAGTGAATCTACGGTAGAGGACATCTATATATCCCCTCAAACCAAAGAGTCAGACAGTCCACCCAGTACACTCTCATCTCCTGGTTCGAGCCGTTCCCAGGAAGATATATCAGCTTTACCTCCGGACAGAGGCAAGAAAAGGATATCGCTTCCCCGGCAGACCACCAGCAGAGATAAGACTGCATCCGTTCTGGAGTCCGGTTCGACACATCTCACTGGCTTCACGAACTACGCTTTTGACCAAGGTCCTAGCGACGTGGATGAGATTATTTGTCCTTCCGACAATACAAAATTGGTCAGCAGCGTTCACAAAAATTGTTCAGAATCTCGACCGGAATCTCAAGAACAACATTTTCAACGTACACGTACTTCATTTCCAATATTTACACCGGTGCCTACAATACACAGTAGTGAAGAGCTAATTGCAGAAGACATGGCATCTACCAACAGTAATTTGCTGCATGATCGAAATGAAAACCATGAAAGCAGTTCACACGGCGATAGGAAAACTACAGGAGAGCTCACCTGCAACTGCTCAGATTTTTCTGTTGGAAAAGAAGCTTCCAGAAGACAAGTTGAAGGAGGGGGTTGGGTGGAAGACAGTGCGCGATCGAAAGACAAATGCGCGACGAAAAGAGATTCGCAAATGTTTTCAAGTGCAAAAAATACAAGTTATTTTTCCAAACCAATGGATTCAAATGCTGGAAATACTGAGCAGATTTATTGTATCGCCGACCATGCCACTTTCACCAAAGGAGACGAGAGAACAATGGAAGTATGATGTTTTGCTCACGCTATTAGAAAGTATTGAGGAAAAAATCTCCAGGTGTTACAGATATACAGATTCGGAATTGTTATGTGGTGCTTGTATTAGTAGTGAGAATGTAAATAGAACTATTTTAGAACTATGAATTATTGGTTTTTCAACTAAAATTTTACAATATTTTCAACTTCTTCAACTGTTTTGATTAACACCGTAAAACCAGGCCGTGCTGTGAACCAGCGTGAAAACAGCCTACTCGAGTCCTGGTGCGCTCATATGACCTTAATATTATGCAGTTGCGAGCGCCGTAAAACTCTAGCCAAAACAAACAAATAATATTAGAGACATTACGGTCAGCGCAACATGCCCCCCCCCTTCCTCCCCGTCTGATATCAAGAACTCACAGCATATCTGTTACACCCCAGGCAGCATCGTCTGAAAACTCTTTGAAATCGATATCACAGACAGCTGTAATCTTCGATTTCTCGTCTTATTTAACGAGATATTTGTTGACATCACACCACGATCTCATTTCTTTTGTTTTCATAGCCAGAGCAAAGGTCTAATTTGTTTTCCTTCTAATCAATTGAGGCGCCTCATCTAATGAGGTCATTGCTATGCTACCCCTCGACAGGAGGAAACATCCGGCACCCGCATCATTAGCTCTGGTTCAACAAGCGCTGTGATGTGTCTACACGGAATTTCCAGAAACCGTGTTCCTGGGACGTCTTCATTAACTCAGAAAGAATGTCTTCTTTGCCTTCATTTTTTTCTGTCGCTGCTTGCAACATTTCTCCGTCCTCCTAAAATATTACAACTCCATGGCCCTGTTTCTCCGTCTTATTGTTGACCATGTGGTGCGGTAAGTCACCATTGAGTGGTGAATTGTGAGATTTGGTGACTTACTCTTTTCGCAGATTATTCTGTTTGTTTCTTAAACTGCGCATAAAAAGAAAGCTCAAGAGTCAGTCAGATTTTCCCCCATGTAGGGGCAAAGCTATCTTTTTGACACAATTCAACTGGGTTCGATTGACTACCTTGAAAAATTAACGATTTTGACTGTGAAGGTCAACGTCGAATGTAATTGAATTCGGTCGAATTGTGTAAAAATTATAGATTTTGCCCCATCCCTGAAGAAAAGTGTGCCTAACCCGAATCAATCAAAATTAATGAATTCATCTGATAGTGCACATTCAGTATTTGTTATGGTTGCTAACCTGTGTGGTGACCGCTGGCCAAAGACATCTTTTACGGTGTGTTCATATTGACACAAGTTTGAATAATATGATTCTACTTTCTAATTTCAAGATAAGCCCGCAGATCGAAAAAGGCAGTAGACAGTAAAACTAAATAGACATAATTGAACTTCAATCGATTTTTTTGACTGTTTTCTTTTTGGTTTTGATGAGACGTTGATGTCAAAGGGGTTTGTAAGTGATGGTGGGGGGAGGAGGGGGTTACATGACTGCGTTAATTAAGTCTGGGCCTTCGGTCAGCTTTGACACATCGGCCCGATAAAGTAAGATTTACCGACACTGACCGAGGTAAAGTAACATTAACTGCCCCTGATTACGGTAAGTAACATAAACTGCCCTTGTACACAGTAGAGTAACATTAACTTGACCCTGATTTGAAAAAAAGGAACATTAAGTGCTCCTGATCAATTACTACATAGCAACTTCAAGTTCAAATGTTTATTCATTGTAAGATATAGTACACATCGTAATTTCAAATGTACAATAGACAGCTTTTGATTATTAACCCTTATAAATAATTTTTTTCTTTTTGCAAACCCGATATCGTTCCAAAATTTAAATGATCACAATGCAACTTTGAATTAAAATTTGATGTTCTCAAAACTCATGTAAGTCTGTAAACGCTTCTTTCGCATGGACACCATATTATTGAAGCTCTAATATTCAACATTAGTCGAGAAGACAAAGGACGTCTTACGAATATCACGAGATATTTGAGGATTTCGTAGAGCTTACATTACACACTTTAGCGATGGAGACAGCCTTCAGGAATATACATGCCTGTTTCTCTTTATGTTTCAAAAGCGGAGATATTACCATGTAAATGGTTAGGATAACAGTACTAAACTTACGTTTACATAAACTGCCGACCTGCCTCTATGCTTGTCCTGATTAAACTATTTCTCCTCGTGCCAATTGCACAAGATCCAGGTTAGTTACTTGATGGGAACCATAAGCCGGAGAAATAAATGCAGACACCAGATCTATGTGGCACAGCCGAGAGCAGGAGACGCCGACCTCAAGCTCTCCCCGACTCGAGCCTTCCAAGTAGCTGGATTATAGGATCAGGAGCACGCCACACCTTCTCAATGTTTGCCAATGATCGCCTGTAACATTTGAAATTGTTATGTGGCATTGTGGCACTGTACTTTTGTTACATTTGAAGCTTATATGTTTATATTTAAACATTGTATGTTCTAGTTTACATATGTGGCCTTTGAAGTTGCAATGTGGCACTTCAAATTACAGTGTGGCTTTTGAAAGTACATGTACTAGGCGGGTATATCTTTAACAAAATATGCTATAAAAATGACACCAAGGTCCGTGCCGCCAGACACGCACACACACACTCACACACACACACACACACACACACACACACACACACACACACACACACACACACACACACACACATGCATGCGTGTAATACATATATACATATAATTGTATATATTATATATATAGAGAGAGAGTTGAATGTATCAATTGTATGTATAATGTCTTCCTACAGAAACTGGATTTCTGACGTTTACACAGTGCGGAAGCTTGATATTTCCTGATTGTAGAAGTGTGTCTCCTGAGACCTATAGTGGGAAACAGAAGAAAAAGGAAAGAGATACTCTGCAGAAGTTTTCTGCTCTGGTACCGATAGTAAAGCTTTGTTTTCTCAGTGATGAGTATTCACAGATTGTCATGACGTTGTTTCTAAAACAAACTAAGAGGGCTTCTACTAGGTCGGCTTACGGTTATTAAGAAAGGTAGATAGCTGTGGAATCACTACCTCAGAATAACAATGTTGTATCTGACATGTTTGGCCCTTTCGAGTTATAAGACCATACGATCAGAAACCAAAAGTTCTGTCAGCTCTCAATATCGTACTATTATTCTGAGACGTTATTAAGATATTCAAAGAATTGAATTCGAAAAAGCTTGAAATGATGTAAAAACTCAAAACCTTTGACGTCAAATTTCTCAAGACTCGGCTCATAGCAGATATAATTTTGTAATTCTCTGGTAGTGAAATGCACAAGAAGTGGTCAGCGCACAATCTGACAAGATTTAGCCTCAGATGCAACCCTTCGAGGGAGGAGGAAGTGAGGAAGGCTGAGTCCCCACCTGGGAACGAGATGTGGAGCCAGGTCTTAGGAGTATGGGGCACTGTTGACTGGTGGTGGAGAAGGTCGCCCAGAACAGGGTTAGGCGGAGAGTCCTTCTTGTTGACCTATAGCCAAATACCAGGGAGAACGAGACATATGATGCCGACGATGATGAAGATGAGAGAAATATTACAGTAAATTGTTGACGTATTACACCCATTACCCCATCACCTTCCAGTGCACTTATGTATTGAGCTTATTTTGTATTCTAGTAACAAAAATATGTTAAATCTTCTGCCACTTAAAAAAAAATAAATATTATACAAACCTCCCACATTTCGCACATGTATCAATATTGTCATTAAAACAAATGAAAAATCAAACAACTCTTCTTTTTTAAAATTCCTTTGATCGCCTCACATTTTGTATATTGCTTCTTTTATCTTCTGAAAATCAGTTTCCCCAGTACAACAGCACTGTAGGAAGACACTGAGGTGTGTCAGGGTTGCATCTCCCTCTCCAGCCACCCCCCCCCCACCCCCAAGGCGGTCAAATCTATAGATGTAATAATATATTATATCTAGTTATTTATGTACTTAAATGTATATTATAATATTTGTAACATGTCTGATAAAGAGAAGGGGTGATGCAGAAGGAGAGGAGAAAAAGTACGGGAAAAAATCAAATTTTCTGTGATAAAATCCATCAGATGGGGTCATAACGTCAAGGGGATAGCAAAATGGCACATCTCAATTCTGCTTTGTTTGAGATTAAAGGAAAAACTGTTTAACTTGACTATTTATCATCTAATAATGGTAAAACTCACCATGCACGTTTCTTTCGTGACTGCTAGCCCGTGTTTGTTTTAATTTTATCAAAAGATAGATTTACTATCACCTCTGTTTTTATATCAGCAGAAAAAAGATCTGGAGATGTCTTTCCTAACGGTATTCTGAACAGCCGTTGCTTTGCCATTGCTTAAACCTTTTGAAGACTCCAGGCCTCATCTCATGTGAGAGAATACTACCTCTCGTCTCTCGTCCTAAAAAGGTCTCATATTCCTTGGATTTGTCGTGTGCAATTCCATTTATTGAACATTGTGTCCTGGGTGGTTTCAAACTTGAAAATGGGTGCACCGTTATCTCAGTTGGTATCGTTCTAGACAACTCAATGGAAGGCCTGGTGCAAAGCCCAAAGGGGTCGTTTTGAATTTGGCTTGATCGGAGAAGTTTTTACGGTTCTCCACCAACTTGGTCTGTAGGAGATAGGTTGTCGTCGTTGTCGTTGTTTCAATAATAATACGTTCTGCTGTTCGTGGTCTTCACCCCCGTCCGCCCAGTGACAAACGAAGGTATTCACCTTTCTGTCTCTGAGAGGTTCCGCGCCTCGGAAAGCATGCCTTCAGACGTTGCCCTCTGTGTCAAAAACCAGTGTCTCAAAATTGCTTATTCTTATCTTTGACGTCCGAGTCTATAACTGAGCATCCGCAAAATGCATTTAAACAAAAATACACGACTCAGATTATACTCACCATATTTCTTCATCAAAAGAAATCAAATATTCGACAAATGCCAAAAAATCACTATCAATTGGTCACGTACTTTTGGAATGTGAACTGTTCAAACAATATACCAAAATGCGTTAAAAGATCAATTTAAATAGGAAGGCTTTCACTCTACAAACATTCTGTACCCAAAAGAGAAGCAATCCAACGAAAATTCTTATTAAAAATTTAATATACAAGCAATCTCTTGCCTCTAACAATATCCTAATTAATCTATGCTTTAACCAGGTGAACAGGGTTATTTATTGTTATTATTGTTGTTATTGACATTGTTATTATTATTATTATTATTATTATTATTATTATTATTATTATTATTATTATTACTATTATTATTGTTGTTGTTGTTGTTATTATTGTTATTAGTATTATTATCTGGGGGGGGGGGGGGGGGGGAGGGGTACTGGGGATATGGAATATAAGTAAGCTCCAAGAAAAGCTGTTCTTCATATTTTTTGTTTACTTATGCAGTATTATTATTAGTAATATCATTATTATTATTGTATTATTATTATCATTATTATTATCATTATTATTATTATTATTATTATTATTATTATTATTATTATTATTACTATTATTATTATCGATATTATTATTGTTGTTGTGTGTGTGTGTGGTTGCCTATCCGTTCGAAATGTTCGGAGCCCCGAAGAGTGTGCTCTTCGCCAGGGCCACCGCCTCCCTTGGGTAGAGGGTGAGGCAGTCCAACCTCCCTGAATCCTCCCCGAAGAGATGCCACCGCCGGGCCTCCGTGACGGAGCATCTCTGCAGCTAGTGCTCCAAATCTTGGGGCTCCTCGCTGCACAATGGACATATTGGGTCCGATGTTTTGTCTATTCTATTTTTGTAGGCCCGAAGCCCAGAGAAATGACCGGTCCTGATTTTTGCCAGTAATGACTGGTCACTGCGGGACATAATAAGAGCCTCTCGTTTTAAGGAAAATGCCCTGTATACTTCCTTCGTCCGCGTGTGGCATATAGGGGGGTCTTTTGTAATTAGTTTTATCTGGGCGCACGCACTGTCATAAGTAATTTGGCGGCCTGGACCCGGCAGCGCTGTTGCCAGTTTGGCATTACTGTCAGCGAGATCGTTGCCGAGGATATCGCGGGGACCAGGGATCCACTGAATCGTGGGTTGAGGTATTGCATTATTTATGCGTAGTCGCAATTGGTCGAAGGATGGTGATGTTCCCACTAGTGCCATGCATAGTGATTGACTGTCGGTGAAGATAGCGACCGAGTTGGATGCATCGCACTCTTTGTCAATCCAGTCAATGGCCATTTCCAAGGCTCTCCTTTCTTCCTCGAAAGAGCACGTAAATATGGCGCCTTTCTCCCTCAATGTCTCGACAACGGTAGGGTTGGACGGGTTCCCCGTTGTGATGACGACTCCAGCGCCGCCGTCCGTTGTTCCTGCCCTAGCCGAGCCGTCAGTGTAGATATTGTACTGTGCGCCAAGCTCTCGTGCTCGACGAACAGCAGCGCTTTGAATCTTCCCACTGGAGTCACTCCTTCCGCTTATGCCGTACAGGTGGGGAAAAGTGATGTCGGGGTTGATTCCACGTTCCCAGGGCCTGGTTTCGAAGTAAGTGATGGGCCTCCTCTCGCAGTCGAACAGATGTGGGCTCTTTTTGCTGACGTCTTCGGCCCTTTTTCGAAAATCCCTGCGTCCTTTTAGGCGTCTGTGCACTTGTTCCGTTGCCGCAATTCGTCGAGGGTGGTCGTTGTTCAGTCGGAGGGCCTTCTCTCTTGATCGGAGACAGTTAGCATTTATGGTGGATTGAATGCTTGGGACCCCCGTTTCAGCTCGAAGTGCCTCGATCGGTGAGGACTGGGCCTGGGTGGTAATCAGTCGCAGACATCTGTTTTGAATCACCTCCAGATTATTTATCAGAGTTTTGCTCAGCCACGGTTGCCAGCTGCTGCTCGCAAAGTTGAGAACACTTTGTATATGAGTGAGGTAGACCTTGCGTAGGTCGTCTTTCCTCCATCCCCATTTTGAGTGCGCTACAGCGCCGAGCATCCTCATCTTCTGTGTGGCCTTGGCTATTCTCAACCTGTTTCCTGAACGTGAGCCTGCGGTCGAGTGTGACTCCCAGGAGTCTTGCGTAGGGCTCATACCTAATTGACGAATTATTTATCGTGATGCACGGCTTCCATTCCGAGTCAGATGTTGCGAGCGTGAAGAATGTTGTCTCGCTCTTTGAGCCGTTTAGCGTGAGTTTCCATCGCCTGCTCCAGTCAGCAACGATGTCCACCGCTCTTTGTGCCAGACTTTCGGCGTCTCGTGTCGTGCGTGATGAAGCGAGGATAGAGACGTCGTCAGCGTAGAGTAAAATTGTGAGATCGTCCGGAAGTAGTTTCGCCAGTTCGTCGATATAAAAAAGGAAGAGGATGGGTGCCAGGACCGAACCTTGTGGGAGACCTTGGTTCATTTTCCTGCTATTACTCAGTATTCCATTGAATCGGACTCTGGCTTGATGATTTTGAAGGAAGTCATTCAGCCATAAAACGTATGTATCTGGGATACCTCTGTCCAGGAGGGTGAGGAGTAGGCGTTCTCGCCAGACCGTGTCGTATGCCTTTGAAAAATCGAGGAGGACGAGTACCGATTTTTCCTTCTTTTGGAAGCCATCGGAAGTCTTCTGCGTAATTCTCAGAATTTGGTCTTCCACACATCTCCCCTTCCTGAAACCAGCCTGCAGTTCGGAGAACCAGCCGTTCCGCTCGGCCATGTCGTACAGTCGTTCAGATACCATTCTCTCCATAACTTTGATGACACAGGATGTGAGGCTTATCGGTCTAAACGACGTTAGTTCTGATGCTGGTTTGGCGGTCTTGAGGAGGGGGACAATGATGGCGTCTTTCCAGACTTGTGGGACATCAGCTGAGCGAAATGACATGTTGAAGATGGAGAGCAGTTTCTTCAGCGCCTTGGGACCCAGGTTTTTGAGGAAGGACGGGGGGATGTTGTTTGGTCCGGGTGATCCGCGGGACTTCATCTTTGCAATGGCATTCCTCAGTTCCCCGATAGTGAAATCGGGCTGGTCTGCCCTTGGGTTGTTCCGTAAGTATTTCAGTCGCTGTTTGAGTTGCCAGTTTTCGGCTCTGTCTTCTTTCGACATGTTTAGACTGCAGACGTTCGCGTAGTGGTCTGCGAATATGTCCGTCTTATGCTTGCTTGATGTCACCAATCGCCCATTGTGTGACATTGCTTCATTTGGCGAGTTTGTCTCAGGGGTACCGTTGAGGCTTTTTATGATTTTCCAAATCTTGGTGTCGTCCTGTGAGTTGGTGGTTTTCTCGAGCAGTTTTCGCCAGGCGTCGGTCTTAGCATCGTTGATCGTCTCCTGCGCCACGTGGCAAGCCTCTAGCCATTCTTTGCGGCGGGTTCGCACCTCTTTCCGGAGTCTATTTCGCCTCCGGATTGCTCTTGGAAATGTGGGGGTTTCCCATGTCTTTGTGTGCCTGCCTGGTTTCACAGTGCCGACAATACGGGTACCGGCGTCCATCAGGGCAGTGTGGAATTCAGACACCATGTTGCGGATGTGGTTGTTCGACGGCATTCTAGTCACAGTGTCACGTTCAACGGCGTCGATGAAAGCTTTCCAGTCGACACCGAACGATTTCCAGGTGACTTGACCCTTGAATACTGATCCATGGCTGACCTCAGTGTTAAGGGTCACGGAAATCGGCGCATGGTCAGAACTGCCAATTCCGTCTACTGGGCACCAGGTGTGCTTCCCGCTCCATGTTGACCCACATGTAGAGACATTAGGGGCATTTTTTCCTCCGGTTGATGGTAGGGAAGAGGGAG